TTATTTTATTTTTTTATTATATATTCTATTTTAACTTATTTTTTTATTTAATTTAATTTAATTTTTTTATTTTGTTTAATTTTATTCTATTTCATTTCATTTTATTTTGTTTTATTTTATTTTATATTTTTTTTTTCATTTTATTTTTTTTTTTTCATTTTATTTTATTTTACTCTATTTTATTTTATTTCATTTTGTATTTTATTTTATTTTTTTTTATTTAATTTAAATTTTTTATTTAATATAATTTTTTTATTTTGTTTAATTTTATTCTATTTAATTTTATTTCATTTTATTTATTTTAATTTTTTTATTTTTCTATTTTTATTTATTTTAATTTTGGTTTTATTTTATTTTTATTATTTATAATTTTTTTTTTATATAAATACCTTTTTTTATTTAATGTTTTTTAAATTTACTTTTAATAAGCTTAATTTAAGTTTATTTTATTTAGTTTTTTATTTAATTTAATTCAATTTTTATTTTTTTATTTTAATTTTTTTTTATTTAATTTTTTTTTAAATCTTTTTTTTATATAGTTTATTTTTCAATTTAATTAAAATTAATTTTTTAAATTTTTTCTAATTGTTTTAAGTTGAGTTGAATGTTTTTTCATTGTAAAAAAGTAATATCTAACAATAATAATAACTTCTCTTGAAGAACAGTGTACAGACGCCTAATTATATGCAACGGAGAACAACCATCGACCATCATATATTCAATATTATTTTTAGAAAACCGTGGCCTGCACCTACGTTGTTATTAAACACTTTTTGATAGAAAGTACAAATATAAGCAATTTTAAGCTTCTTGTACGCAGCTTAGCACCTTCATATTAATTTTCTCACAAACTACACTAAAATAACTTTTCGATTACCTCAAGCCAAGAGGAAAGAAAAATTAGTTGTCACTTAACTAATGGTTTTCCTAGTTTTTCCCAACATTTTCCATTTAAGCAGGAAATGCTAATCATAACGAGATAACTCACTCAAAAAGCAATCAACATAATGCAGTATTTTGCATAGAAAAAGCAATAGCAACTACCAAAAGCAACATAATTTGCCACACAGTCAGCCCGATAAACGGTATATTAGAAGTACCTAAGTGCTGTTTAAGCTAAGCTACTGAGGTCAATACGACTAACTGACTGGCAGACTGACTGAGGACCAGAGCAAGTAATCTTTTGTAAGTAGAAAATCGTACTAAGGAAATCATTATGAACACAGCCCACACAAATCCATACGTACATTTGTCTTCACACATACTTATTTATACTCATATGCCACTGAAGTAAGGTAAGAAAAAGTGAACCGAGAGTAGCTGACATCAGCTATACATGTCTCCCATCAATTTCGACCACCTTAGCGTTGGGAGTGCTTATACATATATGTAGATATATAACTGTGTAACTGTACATTTTTAGTAAACTTCATTAATATACGCCTAAGTATTGTTGCAAAAAAAGAAAGAAAGAAAAAAAGCATAAAAATATGAAAAAGAAAAATGAAATATGGTAAAACATAAACGTTTTGCTCTTTAAGTACATACATACATATGTATATGTGCATATATTGGTTTCTTTAGACATTTGCATGTATGTAACATAAAATGACAAATTTCTGCATGACAAATAAATCACGATTACACATGGTGGATTTGTTTCGGACTATTTCTGCAAGTTTTTGCTTACATACATAATTGTATAAGTTTTGGAATATTTTTTTTTTTAATTCTTTATAGATTTAAAACTCTTCAGTTTTTTTGTTGTTTTGTGTGAAAACTTTTTTTCATGTATATGTACCAAAACTCAACGTTTTTCTAAGTCAGGCAGTCAGTCTCTTTTGCTTCGTCACTTGCTTGACATAAAATATATCATTAAGTGTGTCGACACACTGCCATAGACACACAGACGATGATGGACGATGGAAAACAGACGACAGATGGCAAAGAATGGCAGTGATATGCGCTAGTAAGCAATGTGACGCGAAAAGTATCAACGAAAAATGAAAAAAATATATATATTTTCTGGACTGTAGTTTTTAAATTTTAAAAATAAAATATTTATTATGTTAAATAAATGAAATAAAAGAGTTTTAAATATATAAATATTTTTAATAACATTGTTTTATTTTATTTAATTTAAATTTATTTTAAATAATTCGTTTTTATTTCTCACGCTTTTATTTTAGGTTTTTTTTCCTATTTTTATATAATTTATTTTTTTATTTCTTATTAAATTTTTTGTTTAATTTAGTTTTTTTAGTTTAATTTTTTCATTTTATTTTATTTAGCTATATATAGGATACAGGATAAAATTATCCTGCTTTATTTAATATATTTTATGTTATGTTATTCATTTTTTATTTATTTTATTATTTTTTTTTTTTAATTTTTTTTTTTTTAATTTTAATTTACTTTGTTGGATACAGGATACAATTATCCTGCTTTATTTAATATATTTTATGTTATGTTATTCATTTTTTATTTATTTTATTATTTTATTTTTTTTATAATTTTTATGTTTTATTTTATTTTAATTTACTTTGTTGTCAGTTAATTGAATTAATTTTATTATCGCATTTCTTACTACAAAATAAGGCAGAGATCAAAAGGACTAAAATCAAAAGATTAAGATTAAATGATCAATTTAGTTATAGAAATTATGCTATTTAGTTGCGCTTTAAGACTGATATAAATCATAAATGCTGCTCCCAGTTAACAGAAAAAATATCTGTATGAAAATATACTTTTATTTAAGTATCATTATCTGTACTGCAATCATTCAACAGGCCATAGCAGCAAATAGTAAGCAGACATCTCACATTTATGCAATACTCATGTGAACATTTATGTATTTAACTACATTGATGCACATATATCTAATAGCCACTGCCTGTTGAGCTCGATTCAAATCGCAGACTTCTGCGCGATACAACACCTACACATTTCCTTTCTAAAGCTATTTTTTTAATACCATTTTTTGTAAATTCTTTTTCTTTACTATTTCGCGAGTTTCGTTCTTTTCTTTCTATTTCTTGTAGTTGAAGTGGCGAATGTCAAAGTTGGCGCGTAATTTCTTGTGCTTAATACTATTTGTGTTTTAAGAAAAATAATAGTGTTAAATTTCTTTTCTTACTCGCTTGAGTTAACCTCATGATGAAAATGTTTAATATAATTGTATATTTTATTCACATAATATATTTTTATCATGTTTTTTATTATATTTTCAATTTATGTTTTTTTAATGTAATTTTTTGTTTGTATTTTATTTTATTTTATTTCATTATGTTTTACTTTACTTTAATTTGTTTGTTTATTTTTATTTATTTTATATTATTTTATTTCAATTATGCTCATTTTAATTCATTTCATGTTATTTAATTTAATTTATTTTTTTATGTACATATTTTATTTTATTTTTTTTTTAATTTAGTTTAATTTTATTTTTTTTTTTTTTTATTTTATATTATTTTATTTTATTTTATTTTATTTTATTTTATTTTATTTTATTTTATTTTATTTTATTTTATTTTAATTTATTTTATATTACTTTATTTATTTTAATTTTATTAAGTTTTCTTTTATGCTGTTTAAATTTATTTATTTTCATGTTTTTTATTTAAATAAACATAATTTTTATAACTTCAACTATATTTTGTTTTATTTCCTTATATTTTTTTCCTGTTTTATCTTTCTATTACAACGTTGCTGTGTGGGCGGCCGCAATTGCTTTCTTAGTGGATTTACTATAATTATATAAATCACTCTGTGTGCACATGTATGATATCAAACAATTCGCTGGGTAGACTGATCTAGGCTGTACAGTGTTGTGTGTTCGTTGAGAATTGGCTTTAGGGTGTAGGCGTTAGTTGTAGGTATGTATTTAACTAAGGAGGTTTCCTACGCTAGACAAATATTCAAGCGAATTTATGTATGTATATTACATGGTACTTTAATATCAATGAGGAAATGTGCTGTAATCGCATTAATGCTCACTACACGCTGCCCACATTTTAGCGTACTCAGCAGATCACTTTGAGATTCTTGTTTTGTTGGTGTATATTTGTTGTTACGCCATACTCATACTTTTTAATGTTTGGTTACAATTTTTTTATTTTTGTCAAACGGTAGCTGTGATTGTCTGCTGGTGTTTTATTCGTGGAACGTGCTGGAAAATTGGCAGTTTTCGCGAGAAATTACAAAAACTAAAAAGAAACTGAAGTGCTTGTGAGTGGCTATTTAATTGTAGATTATGGCAAAATAAAAGATATAATTGCTTTAAAGTGGATTATTGGTCATTGTGTCGTTGTCGTTGTCTTTTTATATTTCTTTTACTTCCTCTTCATCATACACAGCTTTGTTGAGTTCAAGTGCCATTGTTTATTATGTGATTCAAAGTGCCAATTATGTTGGCTGAGTTGGCTAAATATGAAAAATTTTATAGCGTTTGTTGTTATATAATAATAAATATGATTAAAAAAATTTTTTAAATTTTTTTTCCTTTTATTTCATTTTCATTATCTAAATATATAATTTTTTTATTTTACGTTATTTTTTTTGGTTTACTTTATTTTATTTTATATTTTATGATATTTCATATTATTTTTTCTCATTATTTTCATTTCATCTTATTTTATTTTCATTTAAATTATTTTATTTTATTTTAATTTGGTTTATTGTGATTTTATTTTATATTATTTTATTTTATTTTATTTTTTACTTTATTTTATTTTTTTATTTTAATATAAAATGTTTTAATTTAATTTAATTGATTTTACTTTTTATCTCATTTTGCTGTATTTATTTTTTCTTTCTTATCTTTTTATTCTTTTAATTTACTTTATTTTATTTTATTTAATTGAATTTAATTTAATTTTATTTTTTATTTTATTTTTTATTATTTTATTTTTTATTTTATTTTTTATTTTATTTTATTTTTATCTCATTTTATCTTATTTTATCTTATGTTATTTTACTTCATTTTGTTTTTTTCCACTTACCATACATTTTACCCTCATCAGAGAGTATAATTTTTCGTCGGCCACATGGCGGATATATGGATAATGCCTCTTGAAAACTCTGTTCGATGTCCGGACTCCAAACACCTTCCGCGTCCGCAGAGGAGAGATCCTTTTCATCCTGAAATAAGGCGTGAGAAAACATAAAGAATGAGTGTAAAATTAGAAAAACTACAAGAGAATAAAAAATATATATGTATTAGGTAACAGCCAGCGAGCGAACAGGCATTTTAGACATTTCAGGATATCCAGCTATCGGTACTTTATTTGAGTCTCGCCAGTTTACTTAAATGTATACATATCTACATATGTCGTACTTACAGACACTTTTGACTTTTTTGCTGTTATTGTTTCATTATAAAATGGGTATTGATTGATGTAAAGTGCAAGTCATTCGATTTTGTTCCCTTACGCTCATCATAGCAGTTATCTGACAGTGGGCATTTTTCACACATTTTTTTTTAATTTTAAAATAATAATAAAAATAATTGGAAGTTTTAAACATAGTAATTGGAAATTTAAAAATAAAAGTGAATTATGAAAGTAAGGAAAAGTAATGAATATTATTAAAAAAAACGTGAAGAAAAATATAAATAATGAGCCTTTCATTAAATTATTAAAAAAAATGAAAATTTCGGAAAATATATTTTTAACATATAAAAATGTTAAAAAAATTAAAAAAAAATTGGAAAATTTCTTAATTTCACTAAAAAAAATTGCCAGGCCGAGTTAAAAGGATTTATATAAAAGTAAGTTTTGCGGATAAAAATTTCAAATAAGTATGGATTTAGAAAAAACCATTTTAAATTAAATATAAAATAAAAAAAGTTTGCAGAAAATCAGCAACTTGTAAATAAGAGTTGAATATAATTTTTCGCAATAAAATTTATTAAAATAAAAAAAAAACATATGATACATATTTCTATAAAATTAATTCAATCACAATCACCACACCACTGTGCTACTACAGCTCGTCCACTTATCACCAAGGCAACGCAACGCGACGCGTAACATTAATAAAGCGAGCACCGGGCGCTTTTTTGAAGAACATGTAGTGTATATCGCTTGCAACAGGCAATGAGTAATGTTATATCGCAGCGTATACAACAACAACAATGGCATTAATAACATCAGCAACAACAAAAGTGTAGCTGCACTCGAGCGTTTAAATTCAAGTGGCTTTAATTGTCAATGAGTTTTAATGAGCAATTTGAGTTGAGAAGCTGGCGCTGAGGTTCATATGTATGTATGTATGCATGTATATATGTATGTGTATAAGAACAGGTATACACCTACGCAGTTGACAGCGACAAACATATGGCAGTACTTGTATGTGTAGATACAAGTATGTATTGTATATTGCATGAATACTTCAATTTCCTGCAGGAGAAGGTGTATGAAAGCAACACCCGCCCAGCATTGACATTCAGCAACTGTTGCTGTTGCTGTGACGATTCTGCTACCTTTTGCTTGTCTGTCTAGTCTACCATCGTTCTGGCCTCACGAGCTAATAAGTATAACGGTATTGAATTGGCGAGGTAGGGTCGGCGTGCGCTCTTCGTTGTTACGGTTATGACGGCGACTGCGGTAATATAATACAATATTGTCATATGCATGAGGCATTGTTGACGAGTGTTATTGCTTTTAGAGGCATTGCTGGTGGTGGTGTTGGTGTTGGCGTTGTTGCTGTTGGTAGCGTCAGTGTTAAATTACATTGATGAAGTTAATAATGTTTGAAGGAGTCTGCGATCGACACACACACACAGACACACACACACACAAAGCCATACAAATGTATAGATGCTAAATTTATTACAAGTACCTATAAATATGTATATTTAACTATATGTATATACATACATATGGACGTGCATATGTTCATATGTACATAGATACATGCGTTGGTGCATTGCAGATTTTATTTGATATTCGAAATTGACTGCAAACATATTTGTGGTCGAAATGAGAAATTTCAGGCATATTTGAAAATTAACTCGCATTGAAAATATACATACATACATGCATATGTAGCTGACAGCCTGTGTATATTTATGTGTGTATATATCTATGTGTGCGCATTTTTTTAAATATGTATTAATTTTCCCACCAACACAGCAACAACTACTAAAGGGTATGGCCATAAGAGGTGTTCTTTTGAAATTACCGCTATTCCGGTAGATGTCACTTTTGAAGCTGTAATATTTTGACATTTGACAAATAAAAACTGCGCTTGAATATATTAAAATTCCCCATAAAAATGGGGAAAACGCAAAACCTAAACATTTTGCAGTCGTCGTGAAGCCCCTTTTCGGACCGTGATACAGAAAAAGGTAGAAAAAAAGTAGCAGTTGGGACAATTGAGTGATTTGAAGAATAGAACACGTACACATTGCTCAAGAACAACTGAAAATATTGCCGCTGTAGCACCTAAAGTGTTGAAGAAAACCCAGGTTGGTCCATTCCTCGTCGTTTTTTGAAAGTGGACATTCAACAAAAGACATTACAACGTGTTTTGCATAATGTCTTGAGTCTTAAGGCTTATGAAGTTTAGTTAACACAAGAACTCAAGTCGGACGAACATTAACAACCTTCTGTCTTTGATTGGGTCACTGACATGCATGAAAATGATCGGGAATTTCAACGAAAAATCATCTCACCTGATGAGACCCCTTTCCCCCTCAATGGCTACGTCAATGAGCAAAAATGTCGCTTCTGAGGCACGGAAAAACCAAGATTTATTGCGGAAAAGTCACTCGATTCTCAACTGTTTGGTGCAGTTTATGATCTGGCGGGGTCATTGGACCTTAGTTTTTCTTAGTTTTTCTTAGTTTAGACTATACGGTATAAGATTCATGATTTTCTAAAGCCGGAATTGCATTGCATTGATCTGTAGGACATTTACTGTCAACAAGACGGCCACACAAATAAAGAGATTATCGATCTTTGAGCCGAAAAGTTTCCCGACTATGCTATCTCTCGAAGAGGTAATCGAATAGCCCATCGAAATCTTGTGATTGTGAACACCTTGCGACTTCTTCCTTTGTCTCCATGTGAAAGAAAAAATCTACACCAATAGGCCAACGTCGATTCCAGACCTCAAAAATGGAGTTCGTGCGGCTGATTGAAGGCATACAACTATATTTTGCAATCTGGTGATAGAAAATGTCATAAAACGTAAGGTAAGGATACTGTAAGCATTGTAACCAGCGATATTGTTTTCCATAATTTATGGCATGGCGTATCGTCCTCTTAACATTGAAATTTACATCCCATTATTTATCTCAAAAAATGCCGTTTTCTTGATATTTCCAGAACTCTTATTGGAAAACCCTATACTATACAGTGGCCAATCGTTTACTGTTACATTAACGCTTTTCGCGTTGATTTTGTTGCGAATTTTTACCACCATTTCGGCTTTGTGTTTGGACATTTAATTTTGTTGGTTTATTTGTGGCTTTTTAGTTCTTGTATTTGCTTTGGTGATTATTGTTGTTGTTGTTGCTATGTACAGTTTTGCAAGTGCGGTTGCGCACCTAAACAACCAAAATGGAGTTCAATTGCAATTGAGTTAAGTGGGCATTTACAGTCACATTTTTTGCATATGTGTATGTATATATGTATGTATATAACAGTATGTATGTACATATGTATGTATTTTATGTTACATTGCATATTACTGTTGCGCAACATAAATTAGAATTAAATTATCAAATTTCGTTGTGGTAAATTTTTATTTGGTCAACCATGGCAACTCGGTGGCACAAACTGTGAGTGGAAAAGAGAGTAAATTAAGCACTCTCTAAGGGATCAAGTACTCGTATGTAGGTAAAAGTGTAGTTTTATTTTTCTTTTTGTTAAATAATTTGAATCTACATAAGTTTTGAATTTTTTTTTATTATTTTGGGTTATTAAAAATTGGTTGTCCCATGGATGTAGAAGGTGTTGAGTAGGAGAGGAGCTGAGAGCGCATTCAAATTTAATTAATTTAATTAATTTTTATAGCAGTGAACCATGGAGAAACACTTAAAGCCTTGGAGCTCTTCCAAGGTAGGGCGCATCGCTACCAGTAGGCAGACCAAACAGTCACTTGCTTCAAGGAAAAGAGAACTAAACACTCTTGTGTGTGTATTAACGGCGCATTCCAACTGAGATATCAGCGTCACGAACTAAAGTTAGAGCACTACATTTGGGAATGTCTGGCCTTCAGCCGTTTGCGACGTCACATCTTTCACGATGCTTCCACCACCAGCCTTATGGAGGTGGGCACGCATGCTTAGGGTGGCCACATTTCCTTTAACCTGCTGCGAGCATTTTCTTCGATATATCTGAAGGGTTTAGAAATGTTTTCAACAACACTTAAGGGACGTGTAAGCACCAATAGGGGTAACCCTATCTTTCGAGACAGGATAAATGCACGTCCCGATAAGCTGCAGGAAGATCCAAGCACAATGAAGACTTGGCGTAGCAAACTTGGATGTGAAAAAAAGGAACACCACTAGGTGGAGTGTTTTAAACTTTCCTTTGGACTCTCGCGGTCAATAGATCGCTGACGTATATAGAAATGATAGCAGCCATGCTTATCATTGTGAGTGGTAAGTTTTGGCATATCTAGGAAGAGTTGACTTGAATTGCTGCGGCTGCTGTGCACTTAGAGCATTATCATGCCTTCACCTTCTTAAATGATCTAGTCACTTCGTATGCCTTATAAAGGTTATGAGAAGTTCGGACAATGGGAAATGCTACAGAGCTGTGATTAAACGTTTCTTCGTACCTGAAATGATAGATGTTGATGTGGGCGACCTTTGGTCCAACACGACGGCGCTACAAGTCTTGCACCTAACAAAATAAGACAATTGATTGAAGTAAACTTTTGCTGATCGTGCGAATCTACACCGCTGGACTATTTTCTGGGTGGAATTATGTGATGTTGCTTATCTAGGCAGATAAGCCTGAGAGGATTGGAATGTATACGGTTGAAATCTATTCTACCCACAAGCGGCGGCCACTTGTTCGAAATAATTTGTGAAACTTAATGGCAGACCCTTATTTTTATTAAAAAAAAGTTTAATTTCTTCCCAGGAAAAAAGCTTCGTCTAATTTTCCCAAATCAAATTTTAGTTTTTCGGTTACCCATTGGGAATTCGAAAATTCTTTTGCAAATTCAAGATTTAAATTTAAATTTTTCTTACCTAAAATTAGTTTGGAAAAACATTAAAATTGTTTTATTTTATTAAGCGAATTTTTTTTTTTACTTACATCGCTCATATCACCAACATCCAAATTCTTACTATCCACCATACTGCCATTCGTATCTGCCGGCCCGAGCGCACCCGGCGGGCCGGCACCCATCGGTGGCCACGGCGACGTAATGGTGCCGGGACCAACTATGCCGTCTGAAAAGAAGCAAGCAAGAAAGAGAAAAATTATTATTATTTAATTATTTTTGAAACAAGAAAATAATGAAACTTAACCAACCACAACTAAGCGAAAAATGGCATAAATGAAAGATTTTAAATTCTGCCTTAAAGTAAAAAAAATGTTTCAAGTCTTTTTCACTCTTTCTGTCGCTCACAGTGAGGCAGTTAGCACTAATTTTGCTGCCATTTTTTGCATTGCCTAACAAAGTACTTTTTTGTTTCTTCTTAGTTGTGTGCAACCCACATAACATCGCATGTTGACGTGGATATTTTAATTGGCAGCTGCTACTATTTTACAAGTTAATGCTAAAAATTATTATTTTTTGTTTTTTGTTTTTTTTTTATGTGCACTACAAGTGACAGTCACGTTTTTTTTTTGTTTACCGCTACTTCATGCATTTAGTTCATGCTGCAGAGTTGCATTTTTTTGCACCAACTTCTGCTACAATTTTTTTATGAAAAGCTGAACAGCGTAAAAACTAAAGCCAACAACAATTGCAATGGCTTACGCAGTCAAAGTGGGCGTGTAGTGGTGCAATTCACTCGGCTCTAGTAGAAAAACGGATAAAAACGCTAGAAAATGCAACTCCGAAAAAGACGCAATAAAAATCTAGGTAAAAAAAATGAAAAAAAAAGTTACGAAAAAAATTTACCCATCAAGTTTTGTTGAAAAATGTGCACAATATCGCATGCAGTTTATTGCCTTTTGTGATTTTGGCATTTTCAGCGTGTTTCCAGTGGGCGGATGCGCTGCGAATGACCAACACATCATGCCACAAAGCACACCTACGTGTACAACCGAAAAAATGAAAATAAAAATAAAAAATGGTTCGAGATTTAGTGCCTCGCATGCACTCAACACATCCAAAACCCGTCGTCTAAGCACTGGGCCGTCCGTTCCTCTATCGCTCAGTCAGTCAGTTAGTCACTCAGTCATTCCGCCACTCTGCTGGCAATTTGTGTCTGGTTCAATGCTGTTTTCTGTGTGTAACTTTAGAGTGGAGTCTGCCTGCAATGTTGCAACAAATATTTGTACGTCTCCAAGCACGCACGCGCTCTCACACTCACCTCCAACTCTTTTGTGTCGTCGTTGTCGTTGTACGGTAATTGATGTGTGACATTGCAGTAGCCACAAAAATTTGCCAACTGTCTGTTGTCTGCTGATGACTGCCAAATGTGTCCAGTTGACTATTGTCTGTCCATCTGTACATCTGTCCACCTTCGCCACTCGCCACCGCCATCCTTCTGGATTTGAGAATTTTTTTTGTTCCAGCTTGCGTTCGTGTGGCGTCATTCAAGAGAGTTGATTTATTTGTCAAATGGGAGCGACGGCTGTTGCGTGTTTTATGTTAGTAACACAAAAAAGAAATAACAGAGAAGGCACTTAAGTGGGAATGTTTGACGAAATCGTTAAAAAAAGAACGTATTTTAGTTTCCTGCAAAAAAATATTTTATCCCGGTTTCAAACCGACATCATCATCAGCCGAACTATCAGCTAACAATCGGCTTCTAGGCTGATTATAGGTTGATTAAAGAAGCGAGAGGAACAGATCTTGACAGTGAGCTAGAGTAAGACGAATATCTTCTGTCGTCGAACAAATAGTTAACGCATTTGCGTCTTGGCTCCCACCCTTCAGTTGACAGTCAAAAGCTTGAAGACGTGAACAAAAATCCATCTAGGAATCAGCAAAACAAATTTAAAATTCAATGCAGAATTACTCGGACCAAGATGAATTACTTTGAACTAAAAAGCAAAATTCTCTCTCGTCATACCATAGACATAAAGTCCTAAATCAATAAGTGCTCATAGATCCCATCCTATTTTATGATACAGTGGCTTGAATGATGGCAATAACCGTGATATAAGACAACAAGCGAATAAGGTTGGGTTTGAAAAATTTTCGTCAGAGAAAAAGAAAACCTTTACTTGGCAAAATGACCAAATAGAGATTGACCTGGTACTCTCTAGGTATCTCGAATTGGCATCAAAGAGCTAAAATAAGAAAGGATTATTGATGTTTCGGCTACAATGGCATATCTGGAGTTTATGCCAATTGAGAACTTGCAAACTCAACATCACACTAAATCCACTCTTTGTTATGATATGGGAGGTAAAAAATATCTATTCTCCATTTTTATCACTCTCTCTGAGCCAAAGCTGTTGGCTCAACGGTTGTGTACCTAACACTCAACCTATACGATTAAAGATTATAGCGGTATAAGAGAGTACAGTTGTTTGCCTCTCCGTCCATTTTGACTTATTTCAGTGCAGCAAGGCTAAACAAAAAAGTTCTCCTTCTACGGGTATAGTTGGACTCTGGATACTTGACCTCGAGAGTGTTCACTCGAGCTATTTATATGCTCTCTAATATCCATCTCCCCCTAGTCCGAACCTGTCGAAAGAGCTCGTTTTCCTGTTCTAAGAAAGAGTTGGCCACTAAAACGAAAAACACTATGTGGTTCGGCTTTTTATTATTTTTATTACCTTGAAAGATAGCAGTCGGGAGAGTTTGATCATAATTACTGTTATTTAAATGACTGTTGGGATGGAGGATAGTGGCAGACCAGCATTGTAGAACACCAGAATGCTCAGTGGTTGTTGCCAACCTTCTCACTTTCATTTACATGAACAAAAATGTATATAGTCATGCTGAAAATTTGTCTTCAAGTAGGATATGAGTTGGAGGTAGGGATCTTATGGAAGAAGTCCTGTTTGGAACAGATAGAGCTACCCTCCCTACACAAGTACAGGTCATGAATTTCGCTGTTGCCTCGAGATTCAGTAGACGATATGCCTAACCCAGATGTTGTAGCGATCGAATTGATCCAACACTCCACAGTTGCAAGGTTGCGGTATAATATTTTCGATCCAAAATGGTCGCCAAGAGTTTATCAATGCAGGCGTAAGAGCTTCTACTTGTTAATTGCTCCTTATCTAACTCTGAACTTAAGGTAGCTCTTGTTTTAACTTGGAAATGATCAAGATCTAGACAGCAAGGCACATGAGCTTTCTTTATAACATCGTTTGAAGTTGGTAAACTAAAGTTCTCACTGCGGGTGACTGCAGCTAAGCCATTGAATAGGCTCATTGTATCCTTCACCACGATGGCTCATTAAAAAGTGCACGAGTGTCCGAAGTGAAGATGGTTTTGACAGCATTTGGAAGAACTTTGAATTAAGTGAGCTCAATCTCAATGAGGAGAAGGTGAGGTAGAAAGGTATTGAGAATAACGAAAATTTCTTTCAAAAATGTCTCATTTTCTACAACAATGTATCTTTATTCTATTCAGCCAGAAACTTAGTGCCATACGAAAGCAAGTACTCCTCACTATCACAGAAAGTTGAGAAGAATCACTCTTAGCACTAAAATCATCAATTAAAGGTATTAACTATGAGAGGGATCTAGAAGCAGCGCGCACATTACGAGAATCTTCAGGCTCTCCTTACCTGCTACCAAACCCGCAATGTCCTAAAACACAAAGAATGCTCCCGCTCCCATTTTGATTGAATAAAATGTCTCGAAAATTTATTAAAAAAAAAATAAACAGATAAATAAATAAATAATTAAATAAATAAATAAATTAATAAATAATAAATAAGTAAAAAAACGAATGAAAAAACAAATAAATAAATAAATAAATAAGTAATTAATTAAGTAAATAAATTGATAATTAACTAAATCAATAAATAAGTAAATAAATAAATAAACAAATAAATAAATTAATAAAAAATAAATAAACAAATAAATAAATAAATAAATAAATAAATAAATAAATAAATAAATAAATAAATAAATAAGTAATTAATTAAGTGAATAAATTGATAATTAACTAAATCAATAAATAAGTAAATAAATAAATAAGTATATAAATAAATAAATAAACAAATAAATAAATAAATAAATAAATAAATAAATAAATAAATAAATAAATAAATAAATAAATAAATAATAAACAAAGAAATAAAAGTTTCTGAAAAACCTTCAAACATGCAAATACCTTTTTCATCTTCACCCCTTTAGAGGACACTTTTATTGGGCTGGTGAATTCCAGTCAAGAAAAATTAAAATAAGAAACGCACTTTCATATGTTTTTGAGTAAAAAAAAGCCAGAAGCAAACGCATTTTTCTCTTAGCGGAAAAGAGAAAAATTTCTTATAATATTTCTACCCACCAGAGCTTATTGCCTTTGATGGAACTTTTCAACATTTACCTGTCTACTGGTTGTGCCTTCTACCCTTTAGCCCTTACAAAGCTGGAATTTGTGTTTTACATGCAGTTATATGTATGTAAAATGCAATGCTTAAGGGTTGCAGATGTTTTTAACTTTTTCAAACCTTTGATTTTTGGAAAGAAATATTTTAAAATATTTGATAAAAAGTTCTAAATTCCACATATTATTAATATACATAGAAAAGACCAATAATAATAAGGAATCCTGGATATGCCAATAGATGCCCTCTCTTTACGACCTGCTCGTCAGAACGAGATGTTCTGTTGGCAAGAACCACCAGAGTGGAGAAGATGAAAACGTGGGCGGCATAGCAGATCCAGATTAGGTTACGTGGGGCATTCGCACATTCACGAATTACAAATCACATAAATCACCGTGCTTAGATGGCATCTTTCTGGCGGCAAAAAATCCGGGAAAGCTTTTTTCAGAAAAAGCTATGTACATCTCGGTGTCATGGCGAATGGCAGGAGTAGCATTCCTATCCGAAATAGTTAAGACGGGACACTTGTACACTGAGAACTATCGCCAAATCAGTTTATCTTCGTTTCTTCCAAAATTATTGGCGCGGCTGTTGGATGTTCACATCAAGCCAAGTGTGGTTGACGGTTTACTTTTAAAAGCACAGCAATCTTATACAAATGGGAAATCGGTAGGCACTTTATTACATAATGTTGTGTATAAGTTGTCTCTCGAAAATATTTCCCCTTTTTTTTGGTCATTTTCCTTGTCAAATCTGGAGCGTTT